ATAAAATTAAACGCCCTGATAATAATATTAACATAAAAATAGAAAATGATAGTATAGAAGAAGCTGACAGCATAAAATTTCTGGGTATAACTTTGGATAGATTTTGTAATTGGAAACAACATGTAAATGATGCTTGTCTCAAATTAAATAGATTTTCCTATGCCCTTAGAAAGCTTCGGACCGTATCAGATGAAAAGACTGCAGGTATAGCGTATAAAGGCTATGTAGAATCAATCCTTAGATATGGGTTAATAATATGGGGGGAATTCTACTGAACATCAGTCAAGCATTCATTGCACAAAAGAAATGTTTAAGAGCTATTTGTGGAGCAAGTCCACTTGACTCCTGTAAACCTTTATTTAAAAAACTTAATTTACTGACATTAACCTGCATGTATGTTCTTGAGGTATCAGTCTTTGTAAGGAAGTATAAGGATTTTTTTAAATTCAAGGGGGATCATTTTAGTAAATACAGACCAAGAGATCCAACTAAAATAATGACTCCATTTTGTAGAACAGCCTTAAATAAACTGAATGTATATCATATGTGCATATCAGTTTTTAATAAACTGCCTAGGAGTCTACGGGAACTTCCAATAAAATATTTTAAAAGTAAGTTAAGAAAATGGCTAGTGGATAAGTGTTTTTATACGATACAAGAGTTTATGCAACATAAAACTAATGTATATGATTATTTGTAATTTTAAATAAAATGTAATATAGTAAAAAATATAATATAATAATAATAATATATAATAATAATAACATTTTCTATATAATTTATGATAAATAATAACATAACTTGACATTTTTGTAAGTAACATAATAGTATTTTAATTGTTTTATGTAATTATAAATATTTGCATGCCTATTAAAGGCAGAATATAGCTTGAACTATGCACCACTGTTAAATCTGGTACCACCTGTATTCTGTGCAAATAAATGTTTCTTTCTTTCTTTCTTGAAGAACTACCGATATCCCTTCTGAGCCGCGTCTACGTGCTGTTTTCGAGAGTAATTACGAATCGTCTCGCACGCAGACTCGACGACTTCCAGCCTCCCGAACAAGCCGGTTTCCGAAAAGGCTTTAGTTCCATAGACCACATACATACCCTTCGGCAAATTGTACAGAAGTCCGAAGAGTAAAATCTGCCACTTTGCATGGCGTATGTGGACTATGAGAAAGCCTTTGATTCCGTCGAAATTTGGGCGGTGCTAGTCTCTTCAGCGGTGCCAAGTTGACTGTCGGTATATCGAAGTGCTGAAGTGTTTGTACAGTAGGGCTACGATGGCTATCCGAGTATAGAACCAGAGTACGAAACCTATCCAACTGCAGAGAGGTGTAAGACAGGTTAACGTTATTTCCCCGAAACTCTTCACCGCTGCATTGGAAGACTTTTTCAAGCTACTGGACTGGAAAGGATACGGTATTAACATCAATGGCGAGTATATCACTCACCTTCAATTTGCCGACGATATAGTCCTTATGGCAGAATCGCTGGAGGACTTAAGCACTATGCTCAATGACCTCAATGGTGTCTCCCAACAGTCTTAAGATGAACATGGACAAAACAAAGATCATGTTTAATGTCCATGTCACACCTATGCCGGTAGTTTTTGGGAGCACTAAGCTCGAAGTTGTTGTGTTGGACAGCGTTCTATGCTCGGGGTTTCTCTGCGTGATAAATTTAGAACTGAGGATATCCGCAGTAGAACCAGAGTGACCGACATAACCCAACGGATTAGTAAGCTGAAGTGGCAATGGGCCGGCCATTTAGCTCGAAGAACCGACAACCGTTGGGGAAAAAAGGTTCTCGAGTGGCAGCCTCGTACCTGTAGGCGAAGTGTAGGGCGATCACCCACTAGATGAAGTGACGACCTGGCAAGACATGCAGGAAGTCGATGGATGCAGGTGGCTAAGGACCGTGCTTTGTGGCATACCTTGGGGGAGGCCTATGTTCAGCAGAGGACTTGTGAAGAACTGTAATGATGATGATGACGTTTACTATCTATTTGTTAAATTATAATTTCAAAACTTCGTTCCTACTATAATTGTTGCGTGGATGGATTCTCAATGACCAACAAAAGGTTTCAGATATATCATTCTTTAAGTTACCGAAGGATTTTAGTAGGAAGTTATGAAAGGCGAATTTATTTCATAACTTTATTTGTTACATAGACACTTATAGCAAAAAAAGAATTAAGTAATAATTTAACAACAGAAGTAATATCTAAGTATTTTACTAAAAAACTTTGTTGAAATTTACTTCACTATCCAAGTATCTACCGACAAGTTATAATAACACAAGTTATAATAACACAAAATACTGAAATTACAAATTAGTTTACTAACAAGATCTACTAAGTAGAATACGATCACATTTCTGTTAGGTATCGTATTTCCGGTTTATTTGTAGTTTACACTACCTTCACATTACATTATCCTTCCGAAACAAACATTGCGATTCTCGACAAATGGGCTTGCAAGTTGCACGCATTGGGCATCACAGAGCTCACATAGGTGCAAAAATATGGTCAGTCGATCATAGTCAGAATAGGTACTTTACCTAAGTAACTTAATTACCATCTCATAATGTATTTTTTTTACTCTTTATTGACAGCCCTTAGTAACCACGGAAAGTCCGCGTTACGTAGGAAGGGGAAAAGATGTAAAGTAATACGGGCACTCGTGCGCAGCGATAGTTTTATTTAGCTTGCGTGCGCGATTTATCTGATTAATAGTAATTATGTAGGCAAGCAGTCAACATCAAAGGAGTGCAACTTCTGTACGTAGTACTATTATTTATTCTGTAATATAGCTACCGTTACAGCCTATCAGAAGTCTAAAGCGGAATATAATCCTCCCTATCGATATACGGGCATATACGGCAATATACCGGGGATATTTGCCATTTGCGAAGCTTGGAGAGCAGATTGACAACCGCAGTTTTTTTTTAGTTTTTAGTTATTATTAGTTCCATCCGGTATGTTTTCCTCTGTCGCTTCTAAGGCCACCCACGAGACAATATGGGGTATTGGATATTCTTACACTGATACACTGTGGGTTTAGTAAACATTGACTAAAGAAATCACAGTAAAGCCCTGGCAGTTCTTGGTAAAATTAATTCAACAATTTCCAGAAAGAACTAGACGACTGACTACTATAACTAGACTGTCTTACTAAATGTTAATACATTTAGTAAGACAGTCAGTTAACTATAGGAATAATTTGAAAATGACGAATCTAAAACAGTACGAGCATAATGTGCAGTGCAGAGCATTGTCTGCAGTACAAGACTGGTACAAACCACCTGTTAAACGGCGATTAGAAAACCTCCCTACTTTGAAAAGGTATTCCTTAATCAGAGAACCTTGTATTGGCTAATAAGGACAAGTAATTCATAAGGTAAAAAGATACATAATACAAATCAAAAATAAATTAAAAAATGCAATGAGTTATGACATGATTGGCAGGTGATCTACTATTTGGACTTATTTTAGAGAAATCAACGACAAAGTAAAGTGAAATATACTTATGTAATGTAATGTTTCTTTGTTTGATCCAAAAATATTTTATCAAGCTTTCTATTTGCTATAATTGGATATAAATCTACAGTACCTCGAAAACATAACATTTCAAGTATATTTAGCCCATAAATAAAATATACTTTCAACAGTAAAATTATAAGACATGGCATTACTCAATTCGTACATTTCAATACAGTGGACACTGAGTACCACTTAAAAGAATGTTCGGTGATTTAGCCGAATATTCGGCTGAATACGAATATTCGGTAAAGCTGCCGAATATGCCGAATACCTCTATCTCTAATTACTGACTATGGATTGATTAAAACTACTTTTACGGATTTTATCGCGTTTATTTTACTATTATTTTTAATTCCCGACGTTTCGGGCGCTTTCCAGCATCCATGGATGGGGGACTGAGATGACTGACGTCCCGATGTCATTGTTAAACCCGGAGTACCTTCAACTTTTTTTTGTTTATAGTTTAAAAAAAAGCTGAAGGTACTCCGGGTTTAACAATGACATCGGGACGTCAGTCATCTCAGTCCCCCGTGACCATGGGTGCTGGAAAGCGCCCAAAACGTCGGGAATTAAAAATAATAGTAGAATAAACGCGATAAAAATTCGTAAAAGTAGTTTTAATCAATGTGTAGTGTTCGCGTAAATATAAGAATTCATTTTACTGACTATGGAGTTGAAAAACTGGTATCTCTAGTATTACTTCACAATGAGGCCACTTTTTTTTATGTCACCAGGACGGCGCCGTTTTTGAATGAGGTGAAATATTTAACAGATTTCACAGCAGGGGAAGTTAATTTGTTAGAAAAGTGTAGAGATTAATGTTTCTTTCTGCCATATTAGTTATATTTTATATTAAAGAAGTGGACAAGGCATTCCATCGTAGTCTTCACGTGTGACAATGCATCTGCGTTTTGATTCGTAATCGAGGATAGATGTAGATGTCTATGGGCCACAGCAATCACGTACCATCAGGTGGACTGTGTGCTCGTTTGTCACCTCATCCTATAAAAAAAACATTTTAATGTTTCAGTAGAAGAGGCCCTATATAAGGCCGGTATAGACCGCGACCCGAGTCAGTATTGAATTGGGGATACAAGCGAATACTTCGAAACGATATAACTGCGAACTAAAGTGATCATTGTGATTAATTATTAGTGCCTTTGAAGTTGTAATTGGTATTTTGTAATTAAAGTGTCAATTTTGGTAATTCAATCGGCAGTTTTTATTGTCAAGCTCGTAACAATACTTACACTAGAAACTGAAAAACTTATAACTGAATCGTAACTTTTTTATGATCATGACACTGTGATACATTTGCGTGCCAAATAAGTTCACCTCACTCTGCGAACAAGCGACATCTGGTGAGCGTTAAATTATTAGCCCTCATTATTAGAAATATGAAATTCTTCTTATTGAAATGATTAAAGTTTCTATTTTATAGAGCACACTTACTTGGTTTCAGAAAACTCCAAGCTAAGCACATTAAGCACTTTCTCATCCCTATGTTCCGGAGGTGTTTCAAAGTAGTCCACAAAATCTCCTAAGGGCATCCGCATTGTTGTTTGCTTTCGTACATCTATTACTTCAACCTGAGAAAAATAAGATGTTTATTACGTTAATTGGCATATTACTAAACTGCTCACCTGTCAATTTAAATTACTAGCAGACTAAAAAAGGAGTTTCAATTTAACTATTGTTTATTTATTACGATTTTAGGAGAATTTTACTGTATATGATTCCTATTTTACTAAATAGGTTATACTTAAGAGGAATATTTAAAGAAAAAATCTACCCTAGGCGATAAAGTTGTAGATGTATAGGTCGGGGATAAAGTTTCTTCATATTATATAAACAAATTCGAGACTTTTTCTTTCAAAGTTTAATATAATTAGAAGAATAATATAAATAGAGAATAATTTATTCGATAACTTGTGTGATTTTTGATCAAAAAAAAATGCGACAAATAGTTTTGACAGTCCTCTCTTGATGTTTTTTACGTTATCTCCTCACTTTAATTTTCTCCTCTATCATGGGGGCAGTTTACAAACACAAATTTCACAAGGACAAACATCCAGACCCGGAACAATTACTTGTAGGCCATACAAATACTTGTTCCGTGCGAGATACGAACCCGCAGCCCCCAGCGTAGCCACTTACTGCTAAGCCACTGCGCCACGGAGCTGTCACCTAACACTACCCAGTGGCGAAGCTAGGGCTCCAAACTAGGGCAAGCCTGTGGTTTTATGTGGTTATTGTTTTTAGCAGTTTAATAAAAATACACCAATTTTCAGCTGTCTCCACTCTTAGTTTCATATTCAGTGCTGTCAAGGACGTGTTTAACAAAGCACACAGAAAGCATACTACCGCTAGATAAATTGTATGACTATATGTTTTGAAAAGAACCGTTTGGTTTTGCTTGAGATATTTACAAACAATACAATACACGAACAAAAGAAAAGCATGAACAAAGTACAAACAAACTATGTACAAAGTTAAAAAAGGTACGCCTGGCAGATGTGAAACCTCGAAATTATTTTGTTTAAGTTATATACATAAAAGAACAGATTCGGTTTAAAGAACTTTATTTCTCATTAAGACAATAAGTCACTTACATGAGAACAATAACATCTATATTATAATTCTAGTGCGTGGGGGTAGTAAAAAAATAAATAAAAAAATTATACCAGTAGTACAGAGTTCATTATGTTCCTATCAACTATAAGGCGGTAGTCGAAGTATAATTTTAATGCATAGTTTCATCATTATAAATATATTCAAATAATCTTCTTTTAAAAATATTGATTGAAGTGGCTTCTTTCACATGTTTTGCAAGTTGATTGTATAACTGTGCTCCCCCAAATGTTATGTTATTTTTTCCATAGTTTGTTCTTACGGCAGCTAACACAAAATTGCTGGCTCGGCGGGTTATATATTTGTTTATTTGACTTTTTGTTGTGAATGTTATGTGTGAGTGAATAAGCTTGTGAGTTATCTTGTAGATAAGTAGACATGTATTATACGTAAAAAGTTGTTTAATATTTAAAAATTTTGTGTTTTTGTAAATCGTTTTCGATGGTGTTAAGAAGTGATAGTTGTGTAAGATTTTAATTATTTTATTTTGTAATATTTGTATTGGTTTTAAATTACTTTTAGCTGCAGTACCCCATATTTCGATTAGATACAGTAAGTGAGGCTTCACCAACGTATTGTATATTAAAAGTCGAGCATGTTTCGGTATATATCAAACTATTTTATACAGTGCGCCCACAAGTGAGGAGAGTTTATTGTGAATATATTGGAAGTGAGCTTTCCATGTAATGTTTTTGTCCAGTGTTAAGCCTAGGTATTTTTCTTGGTTAACTTGTTGTAATACCTCACCGTTAATGCTAAGTTTAGGTCAATCAGGTATTTTCTATTTTTGGAACTAAATATTATGTATGAAGTTTTAGAAGTATTAATTGTTAATAGATTGTATTGGAGCCAATAGTGAAGTATGTTTAGATCACATAGCTTCACGTTAAAAAAAGATTGTAACACTTATTTCCTATAAAATTAAACCTAGGTGTCTCATATTTTATGCTGGCGTTCAAAATGATATTTTGAATTCATATGGTAATATAAATATTGAATTATTAAACCTTTAAATTGGCCTAACTTAATTAAACTTTAATACTAAAGAGTCCTGTACCTATATTTAAAGTATGAAGAAATGTTTATTGAATATTAAATTTCATTTTTAAAGATTTTACCTTTTCTTCGCCGATTAGCACTTCAACACACTTATATTCATCACAATGAACACTATTATCCTCCCATTTTCACTGCAAATCTTTGAAAAAGCATAAATTTTAACAAACACAACGAAAACAAACATAAACATTGAAATGTGAAATGAACTTGCATACGAATGGCCCGCACCCCATTCGCTAGTCGCTAACGCACTCCTAAACAACTTCAGGGCAAAGCCAGGCTTGTGGCTCAATAGTAATTGCTATATAAACATTTCGTAGTTATATTTCATTAGAGAACATTTTGCCACAGGTTAGAAAGGGAGCGATCGCGTTCTCGAAAACCCGGTAAAAAGCCCACGCGTGCGAGGGAGAAAACCAATCGCTCAATTCAACTCTCCTTATATGTGACAGCAGTATTCAGCAGACTACGAGGTCGAACAGAGTGCGCGGGAAATTTAAATTAGTTTGAAACAGTTTACGAGTTATTTTATTACTTCAAACATTCGGGAAATAGAGTAAATGGGGCTCTGCACTCTATTGTGAAGAGTCAAAATGTGTCAAAAAAGGCACGTATGGCAATTCACAATGCTGTGTTGGTCCCTACTTTAACGTATGGTAGTGAAAGTTGGGTGTGGCAGAAGAAGCACGAGAGTAGAATCAACGCAGTAGAAATGCGGTCCTTAAGGAGTATGTTAGGGCTGAATCTGAACGACAGGGTAAGAAATTGTGTAATAAGAGAAGAGTGTGGTTTGCAAGATGATGTTGTGACCGGGATTAAGAAAGGAATGCTTCGGTGGTTTGGTCATGTGGAAAGAATAAATGAGGAAAGAGTGACAAAGAAAATTTATGTTGCAGAAGTGAATGGCAGAGTCGGAAAGGGACGTCCTAGGCGAAAATTTATCGACCAAATTGGCGATTTATTGAAAACGGGCCAAATTAGGAGTACCCTTAACCAACGAGCATGTATGCGTAGGTGTATGGATGTGAAGGAGATGAGAGAGGTGTGTCAGGATCGTGCCAAATGGAAGTCTGTAGTCTCTGCCTACCCCTCTGGGTGACAGGCGTTAGTGTTTATGTATGTATGTTATGTTTATTACTTCATATAATTGATTGATTCATCTTAATGAGGCAAGCCGGGCTTCTGGGCTTGTATAGAGGCTTCGCCACTAACACTACTCAAAGAATTCTGAAGAGACAAAAACAGGAGAAAATCTGAGGGTGGAAGGTACACTTTCCAACTAAGTTCTGTCAATGTGGCCAAAATGTGTGTGGTCTGGCATTATTACGATAAAAGACCAATCCATTTCTGTTGATAAATTCGGACTGTTTTTTCTCAATTGATTGCTTGTCTCATTAGTTCTTGGCAGTAGAGATCTCAATCGATGGTTTTGCTCAGAGGTAAAAGCTCATAATTAACGATGCTTTTCCCATCCCACCATACACACAGCATCACCTTATTGCGTGTTAATCCTGGTTAGTCTGTGGAGCTTGACTACCCTTTGACCATGATCTTTTTCACCCGTTCTTGTCATAGGAAACTTTTCATCACCAGTGATCAATCTTTTCAAAAATGCTATGGTTTTATTACATTTCAATAGAGAATCGCAAATGAGTACACAATTCATTAGGTTTCTTTCATTGAGCTTGTGTGGTACCCAAATATCGAGCTTTTTTGTACAGCCAGACTTTTTCAAATGGATTAAAACTGTTTTGTGGTTAATCTTCAATTCTTTGGTTATGTCTTAACTACTAATATGCCGATCTTGCTCTTTTTTAAAAATGGCATTGACTTTATCCCTATGAGGGCGACCAGTGAGCTGCATCTTTGACATCAAAATCTCTGGACTGGAAATGCTTGAACAAACTTTATGCTAATCTTACTGACACCACATTGGGTCCATAAAAGTTACCAATTTCCGTCGCGGCTTGAGTCGAATTTTTGTTTATTTAGAATAAAACTTCAGAATGTATCGAATTTAAGTTAGATTCACTCATTATGGCTGACAGAAAAACAATTGAAAAATGGCAAGATACTGTTTTTTACTTTTTCTTTTTCTTAATGTCCTATATGTATTGATATTAAAACCAGTCAGACACAAAAAGTACAACCAAAGAGCTAAAGTAAATACTATAGATAATACAAAGAAAATTTTCCTCCAACCTATTACCTTTATGATTGATACCTGATTACCTTAGCCTACTCAAAAATGGTCAAAAATAAGAAAATTAAGAAATAGTAAAAGTTGACTCCAAAAATCTAAAAAAAATAAAACAATTTCTACATAATTACTGTTTCTACTTTTTATAAAATGTTAAAAAAAATTATTAATTTATTTTAAAAGACATTTTAATATGACAAATTGAAATTATACTTTAAATGTATATGTATAATTACATTGTTCACATATTAACAAACTTCTAAGTGGCTTGCAATCTGTCTGCAATGAAAAATAAATGCCAAGTGTAGAAATCCGGAGACCCTTTATACTGGAAACGAGGCATTGCATGTTAGTCCTCAGAGGGGACAACGCATCTGCGTTTTCATTCTTAATCGAGGATAAATGTAGATGTCTATAAGCCACTGCATCCACTTACCATCAGTAGACTGTATGCTTGTTTGTCACCCTTATTCTTAAAAACAATGTGGAAAATGTCCCTCAACATAATTATTATTTATTCATCACAACTTCAAAGTTCACTACAAACTACATAGGCCTTCCTATAGATTGCCTCATAAGGGAGATGTCTGTAATAGCTACCATGATGGCTGCACACAGGCTGGTTGGCAACCAGTTTTTTTTAAGTTCTTATTGGAAGAGACTTTTGTTTCTTTTTGTCACCTCTTACGACACCCACATCATAGTACTATGATGATCCCATACTATGATGAAGGTGAAGTTTATGGTAACATGTAGTGAAGTTGAATAAGAATATCTTATACTATTTCAATACACATTACGACAAACACCATCTTTTGCACATTGGGGCATGCCTAAAGATCATGGAAGATCATTAGCCTGCGGAATTATGATGACTCAAAACATTTTCACTGGATTACAATACACATCCCATCATTTTCATTCTTAAAAAGGCTTTGGGTTTATATTAGAATAATGGATAAGTACCTCCAACTGTGCTCCACAGAACCTCAACACTGATCTCACTGTGAATGTGGCAGGGTTTGGCACCTTCATATCCAGGCCCTCAGGTGCATGGAATATCACTGGACGCGTAAAACCTGTTAAAGAAAATGTCATGGTAAAATTTCACCTCAGTCTGTGCTAATTTCATTCATTTAGACATTCTTATTATTACCCACCCTTTCAATATGAAAATATGAAAAAAAGAACTGAATAAAAACAGATTCAGTATTTAGTATGTGTATTAAGTTCTTACTGATATTTTAATCTGCTGATTAAACCATGGTTTATATTTAAGCTATTATAAATTGGTAATTTGGATTTAATGGTAGTTCGGTGCAGTTCTCCAAAATGTAAAGTAAGTGACGGGTCAAGCACCATACATTCTGTTGGGCTAGCAGTTTACTCACAATGTGACTTTACATGTTAAGTTTGTTAGACCACCACACACTATTAATATTCAGAATTAGCAATAGCACTAACAGTATAACATAAACAGTAGCATTTTAGACTTGGTGTTCTAACCGTATCACTAACAGTATAACATAAACAGTAGCATTTTAGACTTGGTGTTCTAACCGTATCACTAACAGTATAACATAAACAGTAGCATTTTAGACTTGGTGTTCTAACCATATCACTAACAGTATAACATAAACAGTAGCATTTTAGACTTGGTGTTCTAACCACATCACTAAGCGTATCATTAACAATCTATGTGATTATAGCTTAAACAAGCAACTATAGTTCTAGCACACCTTGAACTTAGCGTTCGACAAGTACAAGAGAAGTTAACTTGACATGGTCATGCTAACCAACCAGTCTCATCAAATTCGGTATATTAGGTATTTTAATACCACACTATATTAATTTTAAGTAGTTATATTTTATCATGTGCTGAACAGTGCCACAAAACCTCATAAGAAAACTTTTCTGTAAGAAATTGTCTTCAATCATAACTTACTAAAAGAAAGAAAACAAATTAATGACAAATGCTAGTCATATTCTTTATTAAATTACATGAAATTTTAATAGCATCTGTAATTAATAAAATAATGTAATATTAATTAATGATTGAATTTCTTTTGAGTAATATGCCTATTTCAGCATTGGAGTTGCAAAGGGCTATGATGATGATGATGAATTTTTCCAATATTTTATTATTTTAGAAAATTATCACATAGCATCGTAAGAGAATCCACTACCCTGTTACCTTTACAGCATACTGCTGAACATAGGCCTCCCCCTTATTTTGCTTCATAGGGGAAATATTTGCCATAGTTGCCACACTTAGCAAGCAGCAAATGCAGTTTTTTATTATTTTTAGTCATTATTAGGAAGACGCTGCTACCCATCTCTTTATTTGTTTCCCACTGTTGCCTCTTAAGACACCCACAGGGTGATATGGGGTAGTGGATATCCTTACACTGTTATTACATGGTATCTACTGCCCCATATCATACAAATGCTAAATAGATTTCATGACTTCTAATAGATGATGGCAGAGACATATAGCATCCTGTTTCAAAGTTTAAATATTTTTATTCTATATTAGCCTTTACAAAGCACTTTTTGAAAGTAAATAAAGCTACACCATCGCTTAAAAAAAACCAGAGTTATTCAAGAGCATCAACTGTACAAAATGCCTGCTATTTGCAGTTTCCAATCCCAGGAGTAATAGTTAGCCTTAATTTTTAAAGACTGATAAAGAAGAAGGGATTTATATTATACAACAGTCATGGGATCAAATAAAGTGAAAATGTCTTAATGCCGGAAAAATATTTCTAACCATTGTCTTTGATGAACTCCTCTGTGAACTGATGGCCCCGCATTCTCTGAAGTGCCGCTGGTGCTGGGCGTAGTGGTCTTGCAGCTAATGCTCTGACCCATGCCGGTGAACCAACTTGAGAGGGTCGTGTTTCCGCACTTAATTCGTAACGATCTGCTCTGTGGTTGTTTGTGGGAATTTTTACTGAAAACAATAAAACTATTTATAGCCCCCAAAAATAAAAATTGAATAACCCAAAGAACTTCACATTTAAAATTTATTCACAAGTCTACACCTGCCTGTATACTTTAAAGCAGCACTACACGAAATTGCATGAATTTTTAATACTTACATACAGAAGGTCCATAAGTTTGGGCACATTTTGGGCAATGATACTTGTCTATATCGTCAGAGTGATATATTTTTACATCAACACAGCTGGAATTAATTATAAATGAATTTTAAGTAAAATAACAAATAAATTTTTATACACTAATCGACACTGTTTTAAGGAATACTAGGTAAGCTCACAAATAAAGGAAATTACTGTATGCGTATACAAATAGCAATTAAAAATAATACACTTGTTAGATCCATGGTGACCGCGAATGTAAACAAAAAATAAAACAGTAAAGACTACATCGCAATGTTGCAAAATAATAAATGTATTCGTCCGATAATGTATTGTTATCGAAAATTACAACAAAGTTTATAAATAATAATAAATTACTCTAAAACAATTAAGTACAAAATGATGGCCGAACAGCAAGGTGTATGTCAAATCCAAAAACACTTTCTTTTCACACACAACACAACTTTAAATTAAAACTTGATGTTTTTCTGTAATTACCTTCCATGAAACCATTCACGACAACAGTCACATTCTATCATAAACTGTCCAATATTATACGGCTGACCACACAAACAATAGGTTTCCTTCGATGACGCCATTTTAATGGCGAATAGACAAAATCTTGTTTTTTTTATCCACGTCTCTTCAGGGTGCCCATCCTAAAATATATTGTTTGACCATAAACATGATTTTATATTAGTCAGGACTCAGGACAGGACAAAGAAGAAATTTAATCCTATTTCTCTTTTTCTATTTTCTCTTTTAAATTTGAAAATTTAATAGAATTAGACGTTACTTTGCGAAAATCCATTATATTAAAGATGTTAAAATTAATTAGCTAAGATCCGCGTAATAAAATAAAATGATGTGTCCTACCTGGGCCGTGTTCCGATATACACTACGTCAAGGTAAACGTATTCTGTGATACACTGCGAGCACGAGCACCAGCGACCCAGCGAGCACTAAGAGTGCTCGATATAAACCGATATTTCATAAAATATCGATTTATGCATTCGATATATCGAACCGATCCGATATTATCGTATTATCCGATATCGATAACGATATCGATGTATTTCATCAGGCTTTTTGGTTACTTTTTCTTTTTTTGGTTATTGGACCAACTATAAACAAACTATGAATTAATTATAGATATTGTAACGTAACTTAACTCATAAAAAGATACCAATGTACTATAGTAAATTGGTTAAATCATCATCATCATCATCATTACAGCCCTTCACAAGTCCACTGCTGAACATAGGCCTCCCCCAAGTAATGCCACAAAGCACGGTCCTGAGCCACCTGCATCCATCGACTTCCTGCATGTCTTACCAGGTCGTCACTCCATCTAGTGGGGGGTCGCCCTACACTACGCCTACCGGTACGAGGCTGCCACTTGAGAACCTTTCTTCCCCATCGGTTATCGGTTCTTCGAGCTATATGGCCGGCCCATTGCCACTTCACTTACTAATCCGTTGGGCTATGTCGGTCACTCTGGTTTTACTGCGGATATCCTCATTTCTGAGTATATCACGCAGTGAAACTCCGAGCATAGCCCTCTCCATAGCTCGCTGAGCGACCTTGAGCGTCCTCATACGGCCAGCGGTGAAGGACCACGTCTCAGATCCGTAAGCCATCACTGGCAACACGCACTGGTTATACACTTTAGTTTTCAGAGATTGAGGTATACCTGACGAGAAGATGTGTCGTAATTTCCCGAACGCTGCCCAGCCGAGTTGAATCCGTTGATTGACCTCTCGGTCGAAGTTGGACTTACCTAGTCGGACTATTTGTCCCAGGTAAACGTACTCGTCAACAACTTCGAGCATAGTGCTCCCAACAACTACCGGCATAGGGGTGACATGGACATTAAACATGATCTTTGTTTTGTCCATGTTCATCTTAAGACCTATCCGTTGGGAGACACCATTGAGGTCATTAGCCATAGTGCTAAGGTCCTCCAGCGATTCTGCCCTAAGGACTATATCGTCGGCAAATCGAAGGTGAGTAATGTACTCGCAATTGGTTAAATATTTTATCAAAATCTAACCGGTATCATGATAAATAAAACAATTAAGAATCAATAGCTACATATAAATTACCGCAGTCTCTTTATTCGTGAACTAGTTTCTTCGGAACTACTAAAAATATTCTTTTAGTAGTTCCGGAGAATCCACCAATATATTTAGAAGAACCTACAACTTTTTTATACTGTTTATTATTAACACTGTACTATTAAAACATGGAATATCGATAAAAACTACTATGTTTATACTTATAGACAGTCTCACATATAAGTTTGAGGTTATAATGAGATTGCCATTTGATTGTTCTCAGTATTCCTGTTCGATGCGGTAAAACTAATATCACTAATATAATCTAGAGATACGAGTAAATAATCGACATGTATCAATCATTTACATTCATCATTAAGTTACGCCATAATAATAAGGAAGACTGATTTATTCATTTTTATTGTTATTTCATTAGAATTTGAGAATATTTTATGGTAAATAATAAAAAGCATTGTTTTACTTTAAAAAAATATTATTCTTAGACTAAAAAATTAAGGGTGTCCGGCCTTATTACCAAAATGTCCGGCTAAGCTCGTTGGTTTGTCCGACTTTTCGATCTTAAGACCTGGCAACTCTAGTCGTGGCGCTGCTATTTTGTGTTAGAGCTTCGTCAACTACTGCCGCAATTTTTAATCGATGGAAATATTTACTTTAGTACAGTATATTTCAATTAGTATAAAGTTCGCAAATTATTTATATACCAGATAGTTAATTCATTATATAACGTAAAAAAAGAAATATCCTATCTCTGGAGAAAAAACAACGGAGAATAAAAATGTCTGCTTGCCATATGGACTGGCCCAGATTACGCAGTAAAAGTACTTATTATACAAATTTTGGATTTTGAATATGTTAGCCAAGTTACAAGCGTTTTATAAAAGTGTTTACTGCCTGAAATTATTGACTCGAGATAAGCTCGGTCAATGCCGTTGCGCCAAATATTTTTATATTAAAAATTTTGTAACTGACTGTAAGTACCGATTAAAAAATATTAGTTAATTTATTTATTAAAACATGTTGCAACCGTACTATTAATTTGTTTATACCACTATGCTACCGTTAGTAGATATAATCGATTATTAACCAACATCGGTTAACAATCGATTACTGTGAAACAATTAAAATACTTACTTGTACTTATTTTAACACTAAGGTTCATTAATAATCAAAATAAAATAAAAAATATATCGAACAGATTGTAATAAATTAATTAGATAACATAAAAACGACACACCAAAAATTTTCCATCCACTGAACTCCATCCTAAGAAAACATGTATAATGGGAGATCAAGATCGTTTAGTCGCTATACTCACAGTACCGTAGTGCGAGCGATTGAAAAGATATGAAATAAAGTGTCGCTCGCGTAGACCATCGCCCGCTCGGAGCGAAAAATACCTACATTTGCGTAACGCCGAAATGTAAGACGGCTCTTAAATATTAGCAGAACTCTATCAAGAGAACCCATTAATTAAAAGAAAAAAAGACAATTATCAAATTCTTTTGTGTTGACTCAAGATTGACTTATTATACTATAAAATTTTCTCAAATTTATGTCATGTCATAAGTTTAGATTCTAATATTACTCTCTATTCTCATATTTAAATAAATAAATAAAATAAAAGTCGTTAATTTCGACCACAACAGACCACAAGGATCATAGATGTTAGTAATAATACAAATCTTAAAACCAATGTTAGTAAAACATTGACTTATATATTACTAGCGTAAGGATCGGGCCGACCGAACAAGTAAAACCGACCAGTGCGCCCGCCCTATTGACTTACATAATTACTAGCGTAAGGACCGGGCCGACCGAGGAATATATTCCAAAATAGCTAAAGGTAGGACATCTTTAATACTCAAAGTTAAACTCATTTATAATTATGCATGATACTTATGAACATTTAACAACAAGCTAACAACACCCTTTCTTACAAATTTGTTTCAACAGAATGTTAATGTGGGGTTGTCTCTTTTATAAAGGGTGAAACCGTCTAGTATTTATATTGGCCTTATTTATTACCTAATCCTGGTTTGAGCAAGGATTGAAAATGGTTTAAAAAAACTAGCCAGAAAATATGCTTACTTATATTGATTTTATTTGTTTATTGTGAATTTTCAGGAGACATGCCGACTGAAGCAGTGGCAACAGCCAATTTAATTACATATATGGATGAACTGTTTGATGGTGTAAACGCGTCGACACCAGACCTAAGAAGAGGTAAAAATTTTTCGACGAACATAAAAAACTCTACGGAACATCTGCAAATGTTCAATAGAATGAATTTTTTTTAAAACTTCTGAATTTTTAGGTTGCAGGGGTAATCCTCCATCAAAAGATGGATGGATTTGGACCCTCAATGGCATCGAAATGATTTGGAGAATCCTTGGTGACAAATATGTCATTTAAAAGTCTGTCTACAAGAAGACTCCAGCAGGACCCACTGGAAAATTTATTTAGTTGCATACGCTACAACTGTGGCTCCAATAGTAACCCAACAGTTGGACAGTTTGTTGCTGGGTTAAAAACAGCTGTAATAAGTAACATGGCACACACTAGCTCAGGCAATTGTGAGCTGGATGGCAACAGTGCCATTATAAAAAAATTTAAAACATTGCTGACACCAGCCACAGACATATGCACTGATACAGAGCAATCGGAACATGCATTCCAAATAGAAAAAGAAATTGAAGAAAGTATTTCTTCCTCTCTGGAAGAAAACTTGGAGAAAGGAAGTAGCGAACTACAAGCATGTGCTTATGTCTGTGGCTTCATTATTAAAAATAAAATAAAAACAGTTATAATAATTGTAAAAAAAATCTAGTCTCCGAAACGCCAGAGGGAGTACATAATTTTATAGAGTTCAAAAATTATCAAAATGTAAAAAAATCTCTTACATACGCCTCAAAGAATTTAATAGCTTGTGTAGAGAAACGTGCAAGCGTTATAAATATATTTTTAGAAAAAGAGGCGTATAAAGAAAATATTAAAATGAGAATAACACAATTGTTAAAGGACTCTATAAATTATGACCCTCGAAAATTGCATGGAAAACAAGCAATTAAGTATTACATTCATACTTAATAGTGTCTTCCATATTTCTATTAAAGAGATATTGTATTTTAAAAAACAGAATGTTTTCTGAGGAGGCGAGTAAATCTGCACTAAAAAGAAAAATGAACATAATTATACATAAATAAATGTGAAACTAGCGCCTTTACACAAGTTCATCCGCCTGAATTTTAGACTTTTTCACCCAAGATGATACAACATATATTTATTTATTTTTGTATTAAATACTCTAACTATTCATATTCAATACTCAATCTTCAAAAACACCAGATTCTCATACGAAATTACAATCCTCATGCTTTAGCTTAAACGAGCACACAGTTCACCTGATGGTAAGTGGATGCTGTAGCCCACAGACACCCATATGTATTCTCGATTGATTACAAATCAAAATGCAGAAGCGTTTTCATTCGTGAGGACTAAGATAGAATGCCTCGTTTCTAGTA